GGAATACCAGATGTAAATATTCTTGATGTTTAATTGTGTTTAATTTATAAAGTGACTTAGGCAGTACCTATATTTTTATAGTTTCACTGGAAACTATTTAAAATAAGTAGGGATGCACCGATACCACTTTTTCCAGTACTCGCCCGATACCGATACTTTTATTTTTGGTACTTGCCGATACCGATGCCGATACCTATATTTTTATTACATTTGTAAATTTTTTAAATATTGGGTACAGAAACCAAAAGGGTATGTATAATGTTAGTTGGTTAACTTCATTTATCAAATAGATACAGTCAAACCAAAATTTATTCAGACACCTTCAACATTTCTCCCATTATCAATTGTCAATAACTAACACTAACAAAAATAATAGATACTGTTACAAATGTATTGCTCATTGTTAGTTCAAGTTAGTTAATATTCACTAAAGTTAATGTGAGGCAAGGGGCACCAGGTTAAATCTTACATAGGGCAGCAAATTGGCAAGGGCCGGCCCTGGGAGCCACCTATAATTGCGATTAATTGACATGTTAACGTGTAGACCCTGAACATAATATGACCCTATTTTTTTAGATGCATTTCCTGGAAAAAAAAAAAACACTGTCTTTTATTTGGAGCAATACTGTATTTATGAGTTGATAAGTCTTACATGAAGATCAGCATTTTGGGTCAAATTAATGCAGGTATAAAAATATAATTCTGTCACTACGGTATACACACACACACACACACACACACATTAAGTAGGTTAGAGAAGGTAATTTTAGCTTTGAGACAGTGTATCACACTGGCTTTTCAGCACATTTACACACACACACACACACACTGAGAGAAACACACACCAGACACATGCATGAAGGATTTATGTGCTGTCAGATGGCTATTCTGTTTCAGTAATGACAGCTCAATGACAGCCATATACATACCAAACACACACACACACACTGTACTGCATCTCACTTCTGTCTACTTGTGAAGTTCTGCGTATTTATATTTTTAGAAAAGACTGGCAGTCTGGCGCAATCATGAAACCTCAACCCCCCACCCCCCACCCCCCCAAAAAAAAAAAGAAA